TCAGAAATGATCTATGCATATGTAAACATATAAATTCTATACGTATGTTGCACATTTACTTCCTCTTTTTAAAAATTTTGCAGAAATAGGATGATGCTACCAGAACCCCTTTTTTCCAAGCTGCTTTCTGAGGTCATCTTTGGAGATCTTTACATCAGTACAATTCAGTCTAACTTGTTCTTGTATTTTAAAATTTGAATAGATATTCCTAAATTGCTCATACAAAAAGAGTACCCCAAGTATCTGCATGTCAAGTTTTGAGAGTGCTTTGTTCTTTACACCTTAACTGACAGTAGATATTCTTCCTCATTTTAACCAAGATGTTAGGTACTTTAACTTGAATTTATTTTACTGTCAGTGAGATCAAGGATCTATTCATATGATTTATTGGTCATCTGTATATATTGTTTTCCCATCCATTCTTCTGTTGGATCAGGTTCTTATCCCTTTGTAAGAACTTCTTGTATACTAAAGAAATCAACCCTTTATTTTATCATCTGTCCTTTCATTTTGTGTATGGTCTTACTTTTTGCCATATGGAAGTTTTAATTTCAAGTACTTTAATTTATGAGGTTTTTTTTTCCATTGATTTGAATTTTACCTCCCAAATCGAAAGGCCTTCCTGTGTTGCTGTGTTGTGCTTTTTAATCAAATCCTTGTGGGTAGCAGAGTTTCATGGAATGTAATTGGGAGAAATCAGTGTGTCTGGTATTTCTTCATGAATTGGTACACTCACTTATCTCAGAAGAGTTAATGAAAGCTTTGTGTTAGAAGCCCTGAGTGTCCCTGAGTGTCCCCTAATGATGAGAAGAAATGAACAGGAAGCAAGATAGAGTTGTTAATCAACCTCTGAAAGATCTGTCTTCTCAGACAGTCTGCTAAATGCACTTTTTTTTTTTCCTTCTGGAAACAGCACTTGATGGTTGCCACCCAATCCAGGCATTAATTGTGGTAGCTCGGAAACCTGTGTGACAGGGAAATGTGAACAAGGCATGGGTATGTGGATAAAATGGCCCCCTTGGGAGTGCAGCTCATACCTAAATACCACATCCAAAAATACCAAAGCTTCCTGCCTTAGACATATTTGAAGGGAATGAGGGAATGAGGATAGGGTAGTGTAATGAGTTGAGAAGCGGAAAGGGAGAGTCAAGAGGTAGAAAAGATGCTGTTTAATTTGCTCTGCCCCTTTTGCTGGTCTTGTTCCTTATCAGGAGGACAGGCAGTGGTGCTGCTTCTGTTCTTGCATTCACCAGTGTGACCCCAGCCCTTCTCTGTGCTCTATATCCTCATTCTGAAGTTAAAAAGGAGGCACTCTCTTTTCCCAACAGGATGGTTTGTTTGCTGCTTCGCATTTTTTTAGTAGACCTGACTGAAACAAAACAGGAGGGAGTTTGGGGTTTAGAATGTTCGTTTCCGAGTTATCTGCTCTTTGGCTTTGTACAGTGCTGGGTGGTAACCGATGTCAGAAGAATACCCGTGTTTTTACTATGTGAGGCACGTCTGCCATGTCTTTCTTTTCCAAGAACCCCTCTTGACCTATCCAGCAATTTAAGACAATGTCAAGCTGCTAATCCCTTTGGAAAACAGTAGTTCAGCATAATAGAGTGGAGAGGCAGTTCTTCCATCCTCCCTGCTGAAGATGACCTTGACTCGATAACTTTGGCCCTTGTTGTCTGCCTCCTAGACATCGAAGGGCTCAGTTCTCCTCTCACTTTGTCCTGGCTGAGTGTGGAGGTTCTAAAGGCTCGGTCAGAGCAGCCTAGTCATCTAGCCAATCCCAGAGCTTTTATTTCCCTTTTGTAAAACATCATAGAAAGAAAATGAAATACTTAGTTTGAGTCCAACATCTCTGAATGCAAGAGATACTCTGTATTTACAGTGTTCCTAATATGCTTTCTATTCAGTGTATAGGTGGATCATTTGGACATGAAGAGGTATTGCACTCTGATGTTGAGAACTCACAATGTGTACTAATCATTTCTTGGCTATTACCATGACCAATGGACTGATCATTCTGGAGAAACCAAGAATAAGTCTCAAGGAGCCTACCGAAAAGAAGCTCCATTATTCCTTCCATCAACTAGGAGCCTGCACTTGTGATTTTTTTTCAAAGACTACCATGTCAATATGTAAAACCAATAGACATTGGATGAGCCAATGTTTATATTAAAAATAAAAATGGTCGGGCGCCTGGGTGGCTCAGTCATTAAGCGTCTGCCTTCCGCTCAGGTCATGATCCCAGGGTCCTGGGATCAAGCCCCACATCGGGCTCCCTGCTCCGCGGGAGGCCTGCTTCTCCCTCTCCCACTCCCCCTGCTTGTGTTCCTGCTCTCGCTCTCTCTCTCTCAGTTAAATAAATAAATAAAATCTTAAAAAAATAAAATAAAAATAGTCATCATAGGGAAGAAAAAGCACAGCTAGATTCTTCAATATTTTATTGGATCATTCATACAATAGATATTTATCTAACCCTTACAACATGCCAAGCATCGAGGTAGCATTTGAGAATATATCTGGGATAATAATAGTAACTGCAGCCAACAAGTCTTGAACTCTTACTGCTTTTTAGGCATTGGGTTAAATGTTTTATGTGGATTATCTCACAGAATTCCCAAATCAACTCTGTAATTGGGTCCTTTTATAATTTCTATACAAAGATAAGGAAAATGAGGTTTAGTGAGGTTAAATAACTTGCCCAGGAGCACACTGCTAACAAAGATTACAGCTGGTATACAAACTAGGGTACTTTTCACTTTTTAATTGTCTGCTGTTGTTTCTACATGAGGTGGACACAAGAGCCTGCCCTCATGGAACTGTTAGTCTCAACTGGTGAACGTTTTTCTTCAGACAGACTCTGAATCAGTCTCTGGAGAGATGTGGAGTATCCTCCAGAGAAGGTTTCCCACTTTGCAGCAGGACCTAGGCTGGTGGTACCTACTTAATTGATGGGAGCTGGTTGATTACACAGACTCTCTTTATTTTCTCTATTCAAGTTCATGCCTCCCATCTCCTGTGTCCTTGTCATGTCCTCATCGTAGCATCCTTTGCCTTATCCTTCTGCCACCCTCTTTCCTCTCTGAGTGCCCTCCCCTCCACACCTGTTTATTTTTTCTCTCTCCCATCTAGGCAATCACTAGAGTTCTGAAATGTCATGCAACACAGTGTTGAAGGAAAACATGGAAGGGAGGGAGACTCACCTCAAATGAAATGAGCTATTGATGGATGGCTACCTAAGCCTAGGGGTCCTTCTTTAGCATTCTCTGGCATTTAAGGGACTCAGGATTCCAAAAGCACATCCACTCCATTCTGCTGGTGCTAATCTCATTTTTTCCATGATTAACAACCCCGTTCATTATGTTTTCAGCTCACATTAATCTTCTCTTCTGTGAGTTTGGTAACATTTGGAGTCATTTCCCTCTGTATTTATCCATCTGGGATCTTTAGAAAAGATAAGTTTGCAGAAAGTCATTTGTTGCTCACTGCAGTGAGAGGAAGGAACATTCTCCTTGTTTCTCACATCCTGAAAATGATGCTCTGAAGTCAGACATGGAGCTCTCTCGTACTCCATAGAGTACTCAGTTTGGGATTGAGCTGCAACATAACAGTATCAGAAATCACAACAAGCAATGCTCCCTGGATTCTGACTGTCCTCATAGAGCAGATGAGATTGGGAGGGGGGTAGTGGAAAGAGTTAGGCGATTATAAATCCGAACAAAGCCTTTGGCCTGAGTCCTCTCTCTTCCACCTACAAACCATTTGACCTTGGGTGAATCACATAATCTCTCCAAAATCTACTCACTTCCTCCATGAACTGGTCTCAAAGATGCCTGTCTTCTCTATATGAAAAAGTAGTTTTGAGGGTTCACTTATAGTCTCATCTCTGTTTTTGAGTAAGCTTAGATCCTTTCATATATCACTTAATTTTTGCCGTTTAGAAGCCCCTTCCAACAATATTATATATATATATACACATATATGTATATATATATATACACACACACACACATAGGAAAGCTAAAATAGGCTATTGGGAAAGTCTTAGAGGCTAATATATTTAAATTTTATTTTATATTTTAAAAAGTCTTGAAGGGGCGCCTGGGTGGCTCAGTCAGTTAAGTGTCGGACTATTCCTTTTGGCTCAGGTCATGGTCTCAGGGTTGTGAGATCAAGCCCCGTGTCGGGCTCCATGCTCAGTGTAGAGTCTGCTTGGGATTTTCTCCCTTTCTCTCCCCGTCTGCCCCTCCCCCCACTTACTCTCTGTCTCTCTCTCAAATAAATAAATAAAATCTTTAAAATAAATAAATAAATGGATAAAAATAAAAAGTCTTGGAGGTGTATGTCATATTTGAAAATCTACTGGGGAGAGGATAGGTTATTTAGAAAACAGAAAAACAGGGAGACAGCTCTTTTGGAGATCCTGGTCTATCAGTCCCTAGCAACATTCTGTTGTGAAAGTTGGAATACATTTATTCATTTCTTAATTCAAGTAAGATGTTTCTTTAGAGAAAATATTCCAATTGGACATCCATTCAAAAGCCATGACAATTATTGCTATCTATGGTCATTAACCATGAAATATCGGTGTTATTTTTCATTGCTGCTCAAGAGCAGGTCTAAATTGCACTAATGCATCTGTTACTGTAGAAGGGGGGGGAAGGTCTAATTAAATTTTATTGCTGTCTAATTTAGAAGGGGCTCAGGATGTGAGAGAACCAGTAGAGATGAGAGAAATCTGGACTGTTTGCTGTAATTCTGCACAACTAAAACCAAGGCAACATGATTCGGAAATGTTGTCGTTTATTGACAGCCCTGTAGCCCAACACCTGGGATTTGAGCAGGAGACTCCCATTATGCAGATAATTCCCAGTGCTGTCAATGAAAATTAACTACATAACCGACTCTCCTGCCCACATAGAATGCCAGACACCTGAGAGCACTTTTAATTGCAATGTACCTCCCTCTGCAAAAAAGCTAATTGCATCTGCTTCCCTTTCCTTTAGGTACCCAAGCAAGGACAGGAATAATGAAGAGACACGTGTGTTAGTTGCAACCTTTTGAACCAAGCAAGAAAGATATCAACAGTGTGGACAGGGCTGGAACGGTTGCCACGCTTGCTTGTTGGAGTGAATGAGGAATGGGCTTGTGATTATGCTGACAATCCAGCATGAATCTGGTAGACCTGTGGTTAACCCGTTCCCTCTCCATGTGTCTCCTCCTACAAAGTTTTGTTCTTATGATACTGTGCTTTCATTCTGCCAGTATGTGTCCCAAGGGCTGTCTCTGTTCTTCCTCTGGGGGTTTAAATGTCACCTGTAGCAATGCAAATCTCAAGGAAATACCTAGAGATCTTCCTCCTGAAACAGTCTTATTGTACCTGGACTCCAATCAGATCACATCTATCCCCAACGAGATTTTTAAGGACCTCCACCAACTGAGAGTTCTCAACTTGTCCAAAAATGGCATTGAGTTTATCGATGAGCATGCCTTCAAAGGAGTAGCTGAAACTTTGCAGACTCTGGACTTGTCTGACAACCGGATTCAAAGCGTGCACAAAAATGCCTTCAATAACCTGAAGGCCAGGGCCAGAATTGCCAACAATCCTTGGCACTGTGACTGTACGCTACAGCAAGTTCTGAGGAGCATGGCATCTAACCATGAGACAGCCCACAATGTGATCTGTAAGACTTCTGTGTTGGATGAACACGCCGGGAGACCATTCCTCAATGCTGCCAATGATGCTGACCTTTGTAACCTCCCTAAAAAGACTACTGATTATGCCATGCTGGTCACCATGTTTGGCTGGTTCACCATGGTGATCTCCTATGTGGTGTATTACGTGAGGCAAAATCAGGAGGATGCCCGAAGACACCTTGAATACTTGAAATCCCTGCCAAGCAGGCAGAAGAAAGCAGATGAGCCCGATGACATTAGCACTGTGGTATAGAGTCCAAGCAGCCTGGCACTGAGAAAGAAATTTGTTGGCAATTGCAATAGATTAAGTGGTTTACTTCTTCCATCCATTGTAAACATTTAAAACTTTGTATCTCCGTTTCTTTTGAATTATGCCACTGTTGAACTTTTAACAAACATGATGACATAACAAATCATTCTAGTTTAGGTGACCCACCCCTTACTTGTACCCCCAGTGGTATATTCCTGAGTAAGCTACTATCTGAACATAACTTAGATCCATCTCACTATTTAATAACGAAATTTATTTTTTTAATTTAAAACCAAATAAAAGCTTAACTTTGAACCATGGAAAACAGAGTGACTTATTGGTCCAGAAAACAGTACGGCCATTCCGTTGCTTTCAAGAGAATTAGACAACCCTTATGAACCTAAAGAACTATCATAATTAAAGTTGTGTTATTAAGCCCTACTGTACACCGGGGAGCTGTAGCTGAATTATTGACCAAGGAAGGTATCTGTCAGACTTTAAAATACTGAGCCTTAGCAAACCCGAGTGATAATACACAGTGTGGCATCCTGCAGAGGCTTCAGTTGGGATGCTGCTAGGTGTTTGCTATCCAAAAGTTGGATATATATATATATATATATATAAATCGCTAAACACACTACTTTTTCTCTATGCTAGAAACATGGAAAAGAAAGGGATAGCACACATTCTGTCCTTAAGATCACCTTTTGGTGGGCAGGGGTATGTGAGTAACATAGTACAAGTGATGCTGAAAAAGGAAGGTCTAACAGTAGTGTAGCATCAACTGTGTGCGAGGCATTTTGTATTATTGTGTCTCTCAACCCTCACTACAAAAGGAGGACGTGACAACTGCCCCATTTAGAGAAAACTACAGGTGGAAGGAGTTCAAAGCCCTAACAGGTAGAAAGTACTAGAACTTGAATTTGAAGTACGGCTTTCTCTCTCCAAAGGCTGAGACCTTCTTATAATGTTCCTACTGGGTTGGTTTGTAGAGGTATGATTTGCATGCTAAAAAAATGTGGCCACGTTAGGTGGATAGTTCCGTAAGTTTTGACAAATGTATATACCTGTATATCAAGATATCGCATCTCTGCTACTGTTCAGAGATAGGAGAAAGCTCGTTCAGTTCTTGAGTAGGGAATTGTGGGGGGGGGGGTTGGTTTTGAGGTGCCATTACAGATAAACCCTTGAAACTTGGGCAGGATCTCATCAGATAGTGATATAGGCGAGGAAGATAGATGAACCAGGGGGAGCAAAGAGGTGAAAAGTATAGGGTGATATTTGGGATGAAGAAGTCTATGTAGGGGAGTAATGAGAGACAAAGCTGGAGCCGTATCAGGAGGATCTCAATTCTTTGGGAATAAGAATGACGAATAGAATTTATGGAGCACTTAGGATGCACCACTGCTTTCTTTGGGTTGTATTAATTAATCCTTCCAGTTACCCTATGAGATAGTCTTTTGTGAATGAGGGATCAGAGACACAGGAGTTTCAGCAATTAATTCAAGATCCTAGCCTTATAAGAAGTATAGCAGATATTGAAATCCTGTCAGTCAATTATAGAACCTAGAAACCTCTTACTCTCTGTACTGTATTGCTTTACAATCATACACTTTACTACTGAAGTTGCTGGTTTCCCAGACCAAGAGGTTTGCAGATTTCCTAAGTGATGTTCTCATTAACAAAGTAACAACAAAAATAACCCTTTGTGGGGCTTATGTAGGAAGGATGGGTCCTTTGCAATTTTGACCCACAGAGCCTTCTCCAACCCACACCAGGTTGTCTTTGGGGCCTCCAGGAATCACATTCCTGCCCTTGGAAAGCACAGCAGTTCCCATCCGTATCAATAGTCTCTTAAAATTTTACTGACATGGACCATGAGAGTTGGCCAATCCAAGACCCGCAGTAGAGTGTTCAGAGCAATATGTCTAGGCTATACTGTCATATACCCCAGGGCCAGGAGATTGGCAGACCCACCCTAGCTTTACTAAAAAATGTAAGGCCTTGTCTGCAAGTCTGAGATGTGAAGTTCAGAATATGGGCCCTAGCACTTCTGCATCCCAATGAGAAAGAAGCCAGACTGTCTGCTTTTGCTAACTGGGTTTGAACGCCTTCCAGAGAAATTGGAGCTTTGCTAAAGATTTAACGCCCCCTGGAGGACAACATTATAATATATTTCTGTAAGTACTACAACAGAGAGATGCCTAACTGAATGCAAATTTTTATTCCCCTAAAGAATAGGAAAGTCCAGCCATTGCTAAGATAGCCCTTTAAAAAATCAACTGCATTTATTTGAGTGTGTGAGTCACATTCGTTTTAGGAAAGCGTTCACAAATCACATAATCCATTTCAGGCGGCTGCTTCCAAAATAACCTTTATATTCATACTAATAAGAGTTTATTTTCCTAATGGCCAATTACATTAGTCAGGTGAAAGTACCTATAAAAAAAAAATCTCTGAAGAGTGTTGTAAGATAGTCACCTGCTGGTTCAGAGGTGGCAATGTGAAATTCCCACTTTTGGGTTGGTAACTCTGTGCATACGTGGAGGTAAGAGGTGCATCCTAGGTTAATAATCATTCACCTGCCTGGATTCTGTGTGTAGATTTTCAGTTAACAGTGCTGTAAGTACGAGTGTTTCAAAAAAAAAAACAACAACAACAACAACTTCAAGTTAGGTTGCCATGAATCGGAGTGGTTAAGCCACTGGAGGAGAAAATTAATTCTTTAAACAAACAAACAAACAAACCAATAACAGTCTATAAGGCCCCTTCATGACCAGAACTGGAAGGAAACACACTTCCCATCAGCTTGTAGGGATGTTCCAACCTACTGGACCAATAGCACATGATGCTAAGGAGTGGCTTCCTAAGGCCCACAGCTGGCTGAACAGAAAAAGCCCCAAAATGCCTGCTTTGGTTTCGATCCCAGTATGCTCCTTAAGTTTCTGAACCCTTGTACATATTTATATACATGGAAAGCTACCTATTTTAGGACTGTAAGGTTTTTGAAATTCACTAACATCTTATTATCTGAGGCGCATACATACCATCTTGCCTTTTAAATATTTTAAATACCAGCTTCTCTGCTCAACCCCCTCCTTTGGCGTCCCTCTGCCAACCTCAACCTTTTCAGTTCAAAAATACCTGGGAAGTTTCGTCTAATCATTGACAATGTGCTTATCTCTGAAGCAAGGCAAATCATAAAACATGCCAGCCCAACTGGAACAGTTTTTAAGAAAGTGATAAAAAGTTATGTAATGGAAGATGTAACTTCAAGAACACTTTGGCAAATTGCAACGCACTGATATACAAATTCTGCCAGGTACACGTTGTTCTTTTTTACGTCCTTCAATGATTACCCACAATAATTCTTGTTCTGACATCAACAAGCAGAAGGCAGTCTGAGATGTGGGTAGGTTTTCCTCACCACTGGCTCGGGACTTCCGATTCATTCAGTAAGTTCCTCCTCTATCTGGCACAGCTAGAGAATGGAAAATTCTGCCTAATGAAATGTTCAGGTTACTAGAAATAGGCGAAATCCTAGAATCTCGGGTCTGGAAGAGTCCTGGAGAGGCTCTCACCCGCTAAAATGGAAACCCTTTAGCCGTGGGCACTAGCACGCATGTGCCCATATTCCCCATCCAGTGTCCTTCACAGGACACCAGCTGCCTCTCCCAATGCCCTGTCCCCCAGTCTTCAAAGAAACAGAACAAAGTAAGAATATAGATACCATGAAAATGTCCCGGCTCTCAGCAGCAGTTTCTCTGAGGATTCAGAAGGCACTTAAGGTTCCTACATTGTCAGAGAGTTGTCATGAAGAATATCTGTGATTCTAAAAAGCTGCTTGCTCCCTCAAGATAGGATGAGATCATCTGTTTTCCTTTCACAAACAGCCCCCAGATAACATGCTCAACACTAGGCAAGATCTGGCTTCTCCGGGGAGAGATGGAGAAAATGATCTGGGGTAGCTTCCTGGGGAGGGTGGGTTGATTAGCATGTATTTCCTTGAGGAGCCGCATAAACCCCTAGTGGTCAAGTGCAGCCCTGCCGGCAGGAGGGGAGCCTCTGCCTCTGTCTGATCTTCTCTCTCTTCCCAAAGTGATGTCACTGATTCTTCAGGTTGGCTGGTCTGACCCAGACAAAGCAGACCAAAGGCAAACTCATTGGCCACACATTTGTAAATGCCCTCCCCAACCCTTTTCCAAATCCAAACAGGTGAATCAGGATTTAGGGAAGAGGAAGACCTGAATTCTTCATCCCACATCTGCCCACACTCGTATGGATGGCCCCAGATGCACCAAATGAATTAGTGGGTCACGTGGATCTGGCAGGGGCACTCCTTAAGGTCTAACACTTTTTCCTGCCAACTCAGAGAAATTACAATCTTGAGGCCACAAGATGCACATAGGGTCCAACCGTATCATGGGTTGGAGATAGTAAAAGAAAACCCATCCCTATTTTATGGCTCTAATTTATTTAACATTAAAAACACCAGACGCTAGTTTGAATTGTTTAAGAAGTGTGTGTGTGTGTGTGTGTGTGTGTGTGCGCGCGTGTGTCCATGTGTACATTGGGGTAACATGGTGGGGAATTGGGTCCTGAAAGCATCAGGAAAAGAGGTAGTGAGATCACTGAAAACAAAATCTTTACATAATCTGATCTAGAGATGGCCAAGCTTTGGGATTTCCAGGTAAATTACTAGATGTATTTTCAAGGCTGTCCCCAAGTTCAGAGAAAACATGTATGCTTGTCACTAATGGCAAGGTTTGATTTGATCATGCTTAAGTTGATCATGTTTGAGAGTTATGCTCTTTTTTTGGCTGACAAATGTTCTGCATTGTGCTCACTATTTTCAAAAAAGAATCAATGCATTTACTTTCTTTGCCTATAGATATATGAGCATCCAACTGACAAAAACTTGCTGAAGCTGCCCTTAAAAGCTAGGTCTGAAATGAATACATTGTGGATCTCCCTGGGGTTGGGCTGAAATTCTTTTTTTTTTTTCTTTTATATTTCATTTACTTTTTTCTTCTGAGAAGAGTTTGCAAAATGGAAGGCAATTTAAAATCTGGCTCTTGGTCTAAAGATTAACAAGCCATCTGTTGAGCTAATGGCATTGATTGTCGAATAGATTTTAAAATAAAATGGCCTACAGGGCGTGGGATGGGGCTAATTGACACAAATCCAGCTTCCCTATGCGTGTCCGCATTCCTTCTGGAAGAGAGATCTACGTGAAAGATGCTGGTCTGCTCGCAAAGACTGTCATCCTCACAGACTCTCTTGCCAATTCCCTGGCTCTTCACGGAGCAAGCTGCAGTGACAAGAGG